GGTACTAATAAATACATGCGAACGAGCATCATTAAGAGAACAGACGATATGAAGATCAGAAATGAAATGAATGGAAGTATGAAGATGAAGGACGGACACAAAGACTGTATGAAGCTCTGAAGAGAAATGCACAGGAGCATACCTTCCCTATTACTCTGCCTCCTGAAATAACGTGCAAAAGGGCCGTGAAGGCAAGAATAATGAAAGGGGTACCCCAAGGACAACCAAAAAACTCTCTAATTATAAAATTGCTTTCACATGTTGGACATCTTAAATGCTCTCGTTGTCTGCAATAGGACAAAGACTGCTTTGATTCTGAATCTAATATCTATTCATCTGGGTGGAATTGGGGCTGTTGTGGGGAAAATCTATAACACACACACACACACACACACACACACACACACACACACACACACACACACACACACACACACATGAGAAGGATATCAGCTGTGCCAACTGTCTAGGAGACGTCTGCATGCCTACACGGGCAGTTTGCAAGGACATCCAGCCCTAAGAGATGTACTGGAATGGAAGCAGGGAATGGAGAGTTGAAGGTGTGAGGGGTAGGTGGTGTATTAAGAATCAATAGTCTAAAGGTCCTTAAAGTTCCTTAAACTCATTAATTAATATTAAGAAGAAGATCAGAAATGGACATTAATGAGTCCATAATGATTATTCACACTGAGCACCACCACACCCTAGACAATCCAATCTGTTACTTCTGTAGTGATGTTGTTTTGCCTGATAGATATAGCACCACCTTTTTATGTCCATCTCCTCCTCTGGCAACTGTCCTTATGAAAACTTCGCCAACGGCCCAACCATCAGACCATTCTCTTTTGTATTCTCTCTTCACAGACAGTAGAGAAGCACACCCATTGTGGCATGGGATTGATATTCGTTTTGAAACTGTCTGGTGTACTCCGCACAGGTGCGAAGAGCCTACGAGCGGCAGCTATACCTCCTAGAAAGATTCCAGGTAAATGTTTTCATGTAATGCTGGAGCACTTGGACATTCGCACCCCCATGAAGACTGTCTAGTCTAGTCCTTATGAAAATTATGCCTTTTTTCATTCATAGTTAAAACTTAAAAGTTAAAACAATACTGAAATGCTTTTTCGCCTCTTGCAGACACAGATGCGGATCCCAGGGCTCGATCCCCAGAGCTCACCTTACCTTACCTCACCTGTGTACAGTATCAAGTCGACCTGTGAGTTCTTGAACCCGTGACCTGTGTGTTAGTAGTCGAAAGTTGGCTGTCGTAGGTCTGAGTAGTTGTCTGGTCTTGAACCTTAGATCTGTTGAAGTAGGGGTCACACCTGCATAGGGGTCATAGTTGTTGTTGTTCTGAAAGGTGAAGGTCGTAGCTGCTACAGTCGTGAAAGGCCAAGTCCGCAAACTTCCGGAAGGTCCGGAAGTGGCCTTTCAAGTTTCTTCTCACGTTATACACAGCAGGCCAGAGGCGAGTGGGCAAGTGGTGAGTCCAACTTCGCTTAGTCAGCGGTACCCAGTCCCAGTCTCACTTTGAACAGTCAGAAAGTACCATGAGGGACTGTGTGCACCATGAGCCCAGTGGAAAAGGGCAGACCAACGACTTACAGAAGTATAAATCAAGAGGCAGCGTCCAGCCATTCATTCATTCCTGCGTGAGCCATGCGGAAGCGCTGCCCTAGCGTCTTGTGCGAGGTGGTCTGCAGATGCCCGAGGACGAAGTGGGCAGAAGGAAGATAGAGTATCCATAGCTAGTAGGGGTTAGGCGGCCATAGCCGCTGTAGCTTAGAGGCAGCGTTCAGTGTGTGTGTGTGAGCAGCAGAGTGTATGTGCGTGGGATATTCAGGGTGATCCAGAGACGAGTACGCGTGAACCGTGTGTGGACACAGTGACGAATGAAGGATGTGTGTGAGCGCTCAGGCGCCACAGCCAGATGGAAGCAAGTTTGTAACGGTTCTGTGTTCTCGGCTTGATTATCTCTGAGCTTTGTGTGGGCGCACAGCGCCAGTGTGAGTTGTCATCTCTTTGCATGTATTCGAAGTGAAGCAAGCGAGTCTGATTGCAATACTACCTCCTGAGATTACGATGTCTCGTGCTCCTTCGCTTCACTTCCCATCCTGAAGCACAATATGCTAAGGGCATATTCACACAAGGACTTTTTTTTTTTTTTTTTTTAAATATAAACAGGTCCTTATGGTCCTGGCTCCATATCCATTCTGGGGAGCGTCAGTCCGGTTCCTTTCCACCGGCAAGTCTAAAAATGGAGTACATGGTGAACACCCTCACGCTTCCTTCCGTCTGGCCGAAGGAACCCTGACCAGCATTGATTGCTCCTTGTAAGGAGGATTGACTGTCAGCTTGCCCTACCACTTTTCCTCTCAGAGTCTACTATGTCTCTGTCAGATATTACGTATTTAACAAGAAAAGAAGAGAGATGTCTTTGCTGTTGAGATTACAATCTCAGTTTGTTTTCCTCTACGTCCCTGTCCCTGTGGTGTGCCACTTCTTCCAAATCAATCTGTTGTCCACCACAGTGGTGATCTTTTCTTGTAAAAGCCAGTCTCTTGTAAAAACTCGTCTCCTTGTGGCTATCCTTTCTGGTCTGCCTTTCGTGCTCACAGTCACTTCCCTCCATCTGACTCGAATCTCTGTTTCCGCCATTTTCAGTAGTAGAGCCCACATTTCTTCTCTTGGCACCTCAGTTTCTTCGATTGTCTTGGTACATCTCCTCTTCCAAATCACCCACAGAGCCAACTTTCTGAGAAGATGGTACCAGACCTCCTTTCCTCCTCTGAGGTTGTTCGTGTTGTTAGATAAGAGCAAGATGTTGAGGGGGGTCGTGGGCGGGGGGGGGGTGAAGAGAAGAGGATGTGCCACAGGTTACACACTTTGTTCCAGATCCACGCTGCTTCCGAGCAGTATAGTAGGCAGTGGGGTATGTCTTCGGGGATGTTATCAGAGCAGAGTTTGCACAGGTCGGTGCTGTTGGGGTCTGTGTGTTTCCTCCTCTTGTGGAGCCATTGGTTGGTTGGCAGAGCGGCGTGCGCTATGAGCCATTGCATACTTTGGATCCTAGCTGGTCTGATGGATAGGAACTTTGACCACGGGATGGATACGGAGACCGAAGGGTCTAAGCTCAGAATTTCCCTCCATTTTCCTCTGAGTCTGGGATCCGGGTCTGTGGTTTGTAGGCCCAACTCATAACCGAATTTGACGTCGTATTCGTCTATCGTTCTAGTTCTCCCTGTTTTGCCCTGTTTCCAAACCCATTCCTTCGGATCGAATTCTAGCTCAGAGATGCTGAGGTCCGGTCTGAAGAGTATCCAGGGTTTGTTCTTTGATACTCTCACTTTCCTCAGTCGAAATGTGTCTAGTATCTCGCACTGAGGATCTCTGTTTTGGATTTCCAACTCATTGGTGGTGTGCTTGGCTATGGGGTAAGAGAAGAAATTAGAAAGATAACCAGATGTGTTGGTTCTAGCGATGAATCTGTATGCTCCGGTAGGCTGGGTTTGGGATATCAGTATCCCCCAGTCCCCCGCTTTCCATGAGAAGCTCTCACTTAGGAGGGGGAGCCAGCGTGTTGGGATGCTGTTTTGGATCCGCGTAAGGTTGTCAGAGAGGGCATGACAGCCTCTTAGGACATTGCGTAGTTCTTGGTCAGTAGCCCATCGTCCTTGGTCTTCTTCCCAGATGTGTCTGACTTGCCACACGCTTCTTTCTACCCAGGAAAGCCACCTGCGGTCCTTGGAGCATAGGGTCCATTCCTTTCCGTTGGGGTCGGTGATCCAGGGGTTGCAGAATAGAGGTTGTCTCAGGACTTCTTCTCTGTTTCCCGGTGCGCCGTGTTTGCGTGGCCTCATTCTCGGCCAGGCTTTGATGATGGGGGTCCAGTACGAACAGGCTGTTGGAGTGGGGTTTGTGCTAGGTTGTGCAGGTTTTTTCCTGCGTGGTCTGCCCGATTTTATTGTCCAGCCCTTTGCCATGAGCCAAAACAGACCGTTCATGTTCGGGGGGGAGTTGATGGGGGCTAGGTTTCTGATGCTGTCAAGCGCCATCTGGGTCCATGGGAGGAACTGTCTAGTCAAGATCTTGAGGATCCATTTTATCTGCAATGCTATGGATTCCTGTTTGGGGTTCACACAAGGACTTCTACTTCGAAGCTCTGGATGTAATTGCAGTCAGATGCATCTAGGAAAGTGCTAGTGTGAGTATGCTATCCCTTGAGTGTGTGCATTTTTTGCCGCTCCAGAGTCTGGCCGTAATTGCAGTCAGATGCACATCTATGAAAGTGTTAGTGTGAGTATGCCGTTAGTGTGTGCATTCTGTTGCCTGTGTTCTACCCAGGCTGTGTACCGGGGCCCCTTGGAGACGCTTGACCTGCTTGGAACACAGCCCCAGGCAGTCTGTGATGCGCCCAGACCAAGGTAAGGTGAAGAACAAGGTCCACAGAACAAGGTCCACAGCTTCAGAAAACATAAGAATTCCGCGTGAAAAAAACAATGCTGTGTGGAATCATAACGGTGTAAAACAGTAATATACTAAATATAGTAATTATAGTAGTAGTAATGTGGACAACTTTGGGCTGAAGGTTCATTTAAAATTCCTCATCAAGCCCAGCATCCCATATGGAATTACACAAGTCATTTGACATACTGGTATATATGGTGTAGCTTCAAATTCACGTCCGTGTTTCAGCAGTTATGGGTTGCTGACTTACTAACTCAGCATGTGATTTTCAGGGCTTCACGCCACTACTCACCAAATGTGCAAAACTACCGTAGAATGAATCTTCTCCGAGAAACTGGAACCATACAGGCCATATGCTTTTCTTTTGTGCAAGTGCTGATGAGTGGAGCGAGGCCCTTAGGGAGGGCCACTGCACATAAGACAAGGAAAAACAAAAACAAAAAACGAGACAGCTACTGTAGTGTTTCGGAGTAAGTTCGTAACCCATAACTCTTGGAACACACCTGAATCCGATTCCAGAATATATTGCTGGCTTGCTTCTGTTCCTTCAACAGTTCAATTCACGTTCTTCCAAATGAATGGGATGGGATCCCGGCTAATTCTTTGCAGGGGACCCTTTGGAAAAGATACTAAATCCAATGAGGAGTACGATGTATGGCCCCAACTCTTTTTTTTTTTTCTGTGCAGTTACAATTTTCAAGAGGGAGCACACATTTGGTTACCACAGCCTGCCCTTCTGAATTTTTTATTTTTTATTTTTTTTAATTCGTAGGTGCGCCGCATCACATGCGCGTGCGTGTCCGCATGCGCTATGCGACGCACTTGTGCGCACGTGATGCGCCGCATGTATGCTTTGGATTGATGGTTTTTTATTTGTTTTGTTGTTTTTCCTTCTTATAATTGCTTCAATCTATTCGTGGGGAGAAGCACGTGCTGGGAACCGGGCCCAGCATCCCATCTGGAATTTTGCAAAACATTATACATATGAAATACCAGGGCCATTGTGGATTGATGTATTTCATTGTATTTATGTGTTGCAATTGTTTAAGTTTGCCTTGTCAATTCAGTTTGTTATCTGGTTGAGGCTGCTGCTTAGCGGGGGTCTAAAAGCCTCTCGAGTCTCAACAGCACACAAGTAGTTGTTCCGCTCTTTGTCCTTTCAGTGCTGTAACCTGTTGTTCATGGTTTTGTATTAGCTGCAGGCTGGAACAAATCCTGTGTACACATCTTCAATCATGTGGTGCTCTTCAGTGCTCCATGCTCCATGCCCCATGCCCCATGCCCAATGCTGTTCATGTGTGACACTGAGGTGAGGGAAGATACTGAGTCAGATCCTGCATCCTGAGGTGGAATCTCGACCGTCCCAGCGAGCCACTTTGGAATGATCGTAGTCTTTAGGTGAGCTGCTCTTCATAGCAGAGCAGCTGCAGGACCTGATAAAACTGCCGGTATTGCGGTGTGATAGTCTAAGATGGGCATCGACGTTATCATGGTCCTTTTTTTTTTCCCCCTCTGGTCATGCCTCTTTAACTCCCTTTGTTCTGTCCTCGCTCACGTCTACAATGTCTTCTCACAGTGCGAAAATGCAGGTGTCCTTTTTGTGGATGGAGGAGGAATCTGGAAGCTGATGAAGAGTTAGCTATTCTCCTTTCTTTCGCAATTTGTTAGTGTTTTGAATTATGTGACAGCACACGTGTGTCTTTTGTTAAAAAGGCCTTATTATTGTGGCATGCTGATCGCATATGATATCAATTGGGTAATTTTAGATCGTGGATGATGATGATGCTGGTTGGTCTTTGTTCCTGGCTGCTTGTGTGTGTGTGTGTGTGTGTGTGTGTGTGTGCGCTCACGTGTGCATGTGTGTGTGTGTGTGTGTGTGTGTGTGTGTGTGTGTGTGTGCGTGTGCTTGTGCGTGTGTTCTGTCTACCATACTGAACGTGGTAAAGGCACATGTCAGAGGTTACTTGACGCGGAAGAAGCATGATCCAATGAATCGTAGATCGGGGGCGCAGAGGTCAAGGGCTCGAGCAAAGGCATCAAAGCTCAATGACCAGAGGGTGCAAACGGTCAGGAGGGAAATTCAATGCAATGAGGATGCCAATGAGGCGGGAAACGGTACTCTTCCCGGAGAAGTGGATTGCGGACACGGGAATGAGAACGTGATAAACACTGGGAAGGAGAATGCAGTAACTGATCCTTGCCGCGCAGTCAAAGTGGGGGGCTGGTCATCCAGAGCAAGCTGTGAACTGGTTGTCTGTCACCGAATCGATTGGCAAAGGGATGCCGCACGTTTTCATGAGGCTGCCCTCGCTCGCGCGCGGTTGAGACAAGCTTTGACCAGCCAGAAGAGGGATTTGAAGGCGGCATCCGCCGAGTGTGTTCCATTGGTTGCGTATGGGAACAAGGAGCACGGCTCCCGGACTACCTGTCGAACCACCTGGTCTGCCATGAGTGAGGCTCAGTGGTTTTTCAGCGCTTCAGAGGGCGGCGAGAACTCTTTTCAGTTCATGAGTGCCTCTGAGGAATGCGAGACTCGCTCTGTTGCCTACTTTAGTGCTGTTGAAGGTGGAGGAGTGAGTTCATCTTCCAGATTCCTTAGTGCCTCAGAAGGAGGTGACGGTACATCCTATCGGAGTTTTAGGACTTCTCCTTTCGACACCTCATCTTTTAAGAGTTTGGGAACTTCTCCTTTCGATACATCATTCAGTTCGTGGAGTAGTCGGTTGAACCACATGAGGGGTTCATCGGGGTCAAGGAGTCGCCTCGGTTCCTATCATTACCGCTATCGCACAGGTATGAGGAGAACATGTGTCCATAGCAGTGATGACAGGGAAGAAACTCAAAGTAGGACAAGTTACTGGTCTAAAAGCGATGTATACTTCTCGGCATCTGAAGGAGGAGGAGGAAGAGGAGGAGGAGGAGGAGGAGGAGGAGGAGGAGGGGGAGGAGGAGAGTACGGCTCTTCCAATGAAGCTGATATTGTCAATGATAAGGGAAGGCGAGGCAGAGAATATGAAGGTGGTGAAGCTTTCGTCGGTGGTCCCGACCATCAGCTTGATGATGAGAGATTGTTGCAACTGCAGGTGCGAGAGAAATATGGTTTCCGTTTCCAGTCGCTCTCTCAAAGAACTAATGGTAGTCCTCTTCGACATGGCTCCTTGGAAGAGCGTAAGGAGATATCCCCTGTTCGTGGCGCAGATGCTGGGATGATTTGCGGGAAGAGGAGCAGCAGAAATGGAGAGAATAGTACCAAATTATCGCGGAATCAAAGCACGTCCCCTTCCAGTGCTAATGCCCCCCCGTCTAAGGAACACCTCGGTGGTCGACTGACTGAGTGCGATCGTTGGCGGCATAACCGGCTGGCGAACCGTCATAGTATGTTGCAAGACCATGGACGTTGCTCAGGCTTGGGATCAACAGAGTATGATGCCATTCCACGCAGAGAAGCAGAGTTGGTGGTCCAGGCTGTTGGTCAAGCCATGCATAACAGCTGCGATTCTGAGACGGAGGTTTGGGAATCGTGTTCCAGTGCAGCAACTCATTGGGGATGGAGTACAACTCCCTCAAGACAGCCTGCGCGTGGGCAGGATCAGGACCCCAATATGAGCTCAGGGTCTAGTCCTCGAGCAGCTCGACTACCCAGTGGTGGGCAAGATGAAGGAGAAGTATGGCAGGTTCGAGTGCGGACCAAAAAGGTTAGAGGAAGGGGGAGAGGGAAGAAGAGAGGGGAGCGAACTGACGAAAAAGTTAAGAAGAAAAAGAAGGCGACAGCTATGGTGGATCGAAAAGAAGCACTCAGTCTCGTGAAGAAGATCGTTGCCAGTGTAGAGGGAAGCGTTCTGGGTAGGGGTGGTGAGCAGAAGAGAAGAAAGCAGTTATTGCGAAGGAAATGGAAAGTGGTGGACCATACAGAGGGGAGGCAGAAAATAGTCAAAGGAACAGAAAGGCAGGGACAGGATGGTGATGAAGCAGGAAAGCATATAGTAAGGCATTCACTGCAAGGGAGAGCCTCAGGGGTGGATGCTGAGCAAGCCCAGCAGGGAAGAAGAAAAGGGAGAGAGCGCATCACGCGGAGAGTTGCAGCAAGCTTGCAATGGAAATGGAAAGATGAGATAGATGAGGAGGCGGCAGCTGAAGTGAATGCGGACAAGCACATCGGTGGTGAAGATGCTCGAGACATTAGAAGCAAACATAGTCTGGATGACATTGACGATGATGATGATGATGATGATGATGATGATGATGATGGCGATGATAAGCTGGAGCAGGTCATGCATCAATGCCACAAAGACTTGTCAAACTGTCAGGCTCATTCTGAAGATGCGGGGAGTGATACGCTTGGTTTGCACATTATGCAAAGATGGGAATTAGAATCTCTAGATGGAGCATCATGGGAGGAGGAAGAGGGGGAGGAGGGGTCTGAGGCGTTCGGATGGAAGGGAACTACAGGAAACACAGCTGACCAGGATGATGATATACAATCGGGATCTGGAGGCGGTGACGAGTCCCCTCTTGGGGGGGCTTGGAGAGAACTGAGGATGGTCATTGAGTTAAGGAGACATGTGCGCAAGGTTGTGGAGGAGAGAGAGAGGGCACAACAGCTGGAAGAGGAGAGTCGAGCGTTAGAAAGAGAGAGAGAGCTGGAGGAACTGGCCCGGATGACGACAGATCTCGATACTGCGAGTGAAGACACAAGGAGAAGTAGGAGGACGGAGAATAGGACTAGCAGTAGCAGTTGCAGATGCAGCTGGAGGAGCGAGGGAGAAGAAGAGGGTGCAAAGACTGGGCTTGGCGGAATTTCTCGTGCAGAGAACCGGGCGGCCAATCTAAAGATTGAGCAAGGACAGGTAAGCAACCCAATCCCTGGGAACCTAGAGGGGATGGTCATGAAGAGCACAGACACTTCATCTAGTAAGTTCTCCAATTTCCGCGACGAGCATGTGGCTGCCTTGTCAGACGCAAATGATTCACAGCTACCACAACAGAAATTGGAATCAGAATCCGTCGCAGAAGGAAAAGAAGAAGAGGACAAAATTGTAGAGCTAGTAGTGGTCCCAGAAGCAGCAGCAGCAGCAGCAGCAGGAGTAAACAAAGAAGAAGAAGAAGAAGAAGAAGAAGAAGAAGAAGAAGAAGAAGAAGAAGAAAGTATAGGAAGAGTAAGAGTGGAGCTAGGTGAATGCAAAGAGGAAGTAGCATACAGAGATGTGTGGGCAAAGCACTTAGATACAGAACCTGTAGTTCTTCAAGAGACATCACCAGCATCAACAGCAACAGCTGCAACGAGGGAAGACGAAGATATCATGGAGAAAGTAGTTGTAGTTGGAGCAGAGGAAGGTGGGGAACCCGATACAGAAAGTACAGAGAGATGTGTGCAGGACGAAAATCTCATGGACAACGAACCTGACGTTGTTCAGCAGTCATGGCAACTAGACGACTGTCTTCGGAAGATGAAAGGGTTAGAAAGGGGGGCAAAAGATAAAGAAGGCCGCCGCTTTGTAAATGTGACGTTATTGGGTATACAAACTGGGGAGGAGGATGCAGAAGAATGGGGTTATGTTCAGGACAACTCAGTCAGACAAGCAATAGCAGCCCAAGCTGAACTTGCGGGGCCAGCAGGAGAGAGAGAGAGAGGAGGAGAGAGAGGAGAGGTGACGGAAGAGAGGAAAGAAGGTGAACCTTGCAAGAGTGTGGCTATGGACATCAGAGTACAGGCAGAACCAGCTCACTCTTACTGTGGTGCCCCCAACTTCTTTGGCTCCAGCGACAATATCTGCCGGGATGCCATGATAGTGGCATGCCATACGGAGCAAGAGGAGCGGGTTAGGCGGCAATCAAGGGCTGGGGACCAAAACGGTAATGAGGAGAAGAGCCTCCAGCAAATTCAGAAGTTGGACGAAGATATTCATGTGGAGCAGGGAGAGGACGTGCACATTGCGGAGCATGCTGTGAAGACTTTCAGTGACAGTTTTAGCGGGAGGGCTGAGTGCGCAGGGGCTGCGGAACGGAATGATAACGAGGAGAAGAGTCTCCCACAAAACCGGAACTTGGACGGAGGTCATGTGGAGCAGCAGGGAGACGACATGCGCATGGAAGAGCATGACGTTGAGACTCTCAGGGACAGTTTTGGTGGGATGGTTGAGTGCTTCCCAAAATGGGCGAGAGGGGGGATGACGAACATCTCAGGCACTTCTTTGGGAGAGGATGGCACTGAGTCACCTTCATCTTCATCGGAATCTGGAGCACTCTTACGGAGAGGGTTGACGGTGAAGATGCGGACGTTAGAACAAGTCGGCGCTTCAATCCCAGTGCACATGCGAGCAATGGAGGAGCATGACTCTCACACCACGCGCTCGGAGGAAGACCAGACTGACTTGGGCTCAGATGGAAGCTGCGTGCAAGTGGATCCCACAATGAAAAAACGTGTTTTTAATCCTCTTTCCAACTGCATGATGGTATCTGGGAAGGCGGTGGCGGCAGAAGGCACCCAGCGCCTCCGACTGACAGGTGTGTTTTCGGCTAACGGGAACCGAAAACCGAGAGGAGCCGTACTCCGAGCACAAGAGGAGGAAGAAGAAAGTGTTGGTGAAGAATGTGGTGGAGCCCAGCAAGGAGGAGGAGGAAAAGGAGGAGGAAGAGGAGGGGGATGCAGAGGAAACGTCGTCGAAGTAAGAGAATATGAAAGGCAGAGTAGAATGAGGCAGGCCAGCTTCGAGGTAGCAGTAATAAGAAGTGGGTTTCAAAGTGATCAGAGTCAAGGAGGTGAGAAAGTTTGTCGAGGAGATAAAGAGGATGCCGTGAAATGTACAGCGCAGGATGTTGAAAGCGACAGAAGGGATGGGAAGTTGAACGAAGTGATGAAGAACTTCCACGAAGAGGAACACCGGTACGAGAAGACTCAGAAGAGAGAATTCACATTTGACTGTGACAGTCAGTTTACGAAACGATCATCCGAATCAGAAAAGCTTAACCATCAGCAAGTTGTTTTCAAGGGATCTCACGGGGAAATCACCGAGTCCATAGAGAACTTCACGAGATGGGCTGTTGATGTGACAGAAGAGCAGGATTGTCATGGACAGCGTAGACGGACAATTGCTGAATCGCGTAGATTTCAGTCTTGGCTCACCTACGAACTCGGAGAGCGATGGAAATACGTCAACTTTAGTAGAGTCAGTGTGCCCCTTCTGCTCAAGGAGATGGTGAAGGAGTATGAAGAGATGAATAGCTCTCACCAGACTTGGAGCAATCAAATGCGTGCAGCCAGAGAAGAGTGGGCCAAGATCCGAGGTGCTGACGAGGATATGGAGGCTTGGCTCAGAGAGTCACGTCTCCTTCAAGCTGCAGAACGTTCAGGCACTTGACGCCTTCTCTACCTTTTCCTTTCTTTACACCCATGCCTCCCTTTCTCCTGTCTCTTATACACATCTAGATGTGTATAAGAGACAGGAGAGAGACAGACAGACAGACAGACAGACAGACAGACAGACAGACAGATGCACAGACGAACAGACAGAGGGAGAGACAGAGGAAGAGAGAAGGGGAGGGAGGTAAGTAGGAGCTGTATAGTTAAACGTTTACTTAGTAGAGGCAGAGCAGTTCTACTCACAGTAGTATGGTTGAAACCACCACGCCATCCAGGAGAATAGTCCCACGGGGAATGGGCCCTAGAGAATTCCATGGTGGTGGGGTCTGTGCTCCGCCAGGACATCATCATTAAGGAACTGGGGGCTCCTGCAATCCAGGAAGGCGAGAAATGTAAATATAGTAAGATTATAGTGGCCTGAAGGGTGTATAGTAGCCCCCCCAACTCTTTTATAGTCTTGGCTTTCAACCCCCTGGTCGTGCGCCACATGTTCTTATAGCCAAGTTCCAGTTAGGACTACTACGGCATGGTAGTCTATACTGTTGAGACTTGCCACTTCAGACAGAGGACAGTCAGCTGTAAGAGTGTTATATAGTTGAGCTGTTTACAGTGTTTAGTCTTCCATAGATTTTTCCTGATTGCCTTTGTTTGAGTGCTGTAGTTTATTAAGTGGTGTCGCTCCCCATCAATAGATGGAGCCTTCCCGGGGGAGATGGGAGCATCTGCTCGTTTAAAAAAAAAAAAAAAAAAAAAAAAAAAAAAAAAGTGATCACTGATCTTGGATCAGGCGGTAGTGAGCTTAGTAAGTCTGTTTGTCACGTTTTTGTTGTAGTCTTCCGTAGATGTCCCTGATTTTCTGTGCAAATTTCAAGATAGTCTGTTAATCATCTTGAATTCGATAATAGTGGACTCAGTGATTCTGTTTGTTCCATTTTGTTTGGGTTTGCCTTTAGCTTTGGCTTAAGGTATGCAATACTCATACGAGGCTGTCTGGCACTGTATTGGCTGTCTGGCACTCGGGAACTTTTAACGATGAGCCAGCCGGCACTGCTGGTCCTCCCTGTCATAGGC